AAAAACAAAACATTGGGCTGACCCACACAAGCCAATGTTACCTTAAAGAGTATTGGCCTGAATTCTGGGTCCTCACAGGGGGCCAAGGAATGCAGGAAAGAGAAAGAACACAAAAACTTCCTCTCCATTTACTAAATGGAGAGCCAAACCTAGGAAAAGTTTTGAATAGTGGTATCTTCAACAGCCCTCCCATCTGCATTCTGCACGCCTTCCTAGCCTCCCGGAGGTCGCGGGTACCTAACATACATGGACCATGGCTCTTTACCTTCGATCCCTCTTTGGAGCTGAGTAAAACTAAAAATCAGATGTAATCAATTCATGCTGTGGGGTAAGAATTTTAACACCAATGGTTATCCACAATTTAAGAAACTACTTGTAAATCCAAATAAATCTCTACTTGATATAATTCTAAAAATCATAACAAGAAAACAGATAATTCAGATAGTGTAATGGAAGATGTCTTAGGACTAGAGGTGCTAGAAGTGTTGTTTGGAAGTCTAGTTTCTAGGGTGAACTTTCTCAAAGTTGTTTCTGCTTCTCTGCCATGAATATTCTCAAAGTTCCATTTTCTGTAAGTAGAAGGAGCTCTGGGAGTGGGAGGATAGGGCAGAGGCAGCTGGACTACTGAAAAATTGGAAATAGCTTGTTGTAAGTTGTTGACTGCCTATGTATAAAAAAGAAGAGAGACAATGGAAAAAAAGGAATACACCATAAACTAAAAGTTCTTCTTTATTTGTGATACGGGAAGAAGAGAGAAACAAAGCACCAATGATTTGGTGGTGGGAAGCACAGAGAGGGTTCAACTTACCTAAACTGAGAAGAGGCCTAAGAATCTGAGACTTGATATCACTTAATTTTGAATAGAACCGCCTTTCCGTTGTAGCCAACTCATGGAGACTGGCAATATAACCCATAATGTTTTTATCCACCAAGGTGAGATAGCTATCTTTCCCTGCTGTCACTCTGCTTATGTAGCCCAGCTGAAACAGAAGAAAATGAAAAGATTAAAGATTATATTTATTTTATTTTATATATTTACTAGTAGTAATTTGGTATGCTGAAGCTGGCTCCTGTCAGCTGACAAGAACCAACTATTAAATATTCAGAAAGTTTGCAAGCAGGTAATTAAACCATAGGTAGCTTAAAACTGGCCATAGTGAAAATCTGCAAACACTACAGACCAGGGTTTTTTGTTAAGAGTTGGTTTATCATACACCATTGTTACATTTGTATATCTCAATCTATACATACCTGTACATATATACTTTCATTTATCTCCAAGATACATTTTACTTCACATTAGAAGTGTTTTGGAAACACAAACACCCCAGATATATAAAGATCCAAATGATAGGGATCCATGTCTCAGGATTCTCTTTTGCACAAATACAATTAATGAGAGCAGAGAGGATCTCTATGCTGTGTATCAAAATACCAAGGGTCTGGCTCAGTGCCTGTGGCTCAAGTGGCTAAGGCGCCAGCTACATACACCTAAGGTGGTGGGTTCAAATCCAGCCTGGGCCCGCCAAACAACAATAATGGCTGCAACCAAAAGAATAGCCAGGCGTTGTGGTGGGCACCTGTGGCCCCAGCTACTTGGGAGGCGAAGGCAAGAGACTTGCTTGAGCCCAGGAGTTGGAGGTTGTTGTGAGCTGTGATGCCACAGCACTCTACCCAGGGGGACAGCTTGAGGCTCTGTCTCAAAAAAAAAAAAAAACAAAAAAACAAAAAAACAAGGGTCTAAAGTTAACTCGCCTCTTAAAAATATAATGTAAAGGGACTTTTTTTTTTTTTTAGAGACAGTCTCACTTCCTTGCCCTCAGTAGAGTACCATGGTGGTTACAGCTCACAGCAACCTCAAACTCTTGAGGCTGACAAGAGAATCTTACGCAGTCTCCCAAGTAGCTGAGACTATAGGCTCCTGCCAAAAGCCCAGCTATTTTTAGAGACGATGTCTTGCTCTGGCTCAGGCTGGTCTCGAACTCCTGAGCTCAGGCAATCTACCCACCTTGGCCTCCTAGAGTGCTAGGATTATAGGCATGAGTCACAGTGCCCAACCTTGAAGGGACTTTCTTTAAAAGGGTCTTTTTGTCATTTACCCATAATACCACTGAACAAAATATGTTCAGTATCTTCCTTCACATATCCTACTAAACTAAGCAGGCAAGCTGCAGACCCTAGTGGGCTATTCACATCCCATGGTAACCAAAGACACACACTAGAGTTTCATCCTTTTCATCTGCCTATTTCATCCCTTACCTAAACTGTGAAATCTTTCATGGGGAATGTGGATCCAGGGCCATTGACGACAAGGTGTCAATTAGCATGCTCAACATAACAGGCTATACCTTAGCAAGCAGCCAAATCTTGGCTAATGTTGCCTTTAGCAAGAAAAATCTTGTCTGCATACATTCATAACTTAGTAGCCAGAAAAATAAACATAAACCAAAAAAAACAGTACATATGATACATTACTCAGTAAGAATAAGAAATCCAGAAACATACTAGCTTTGAGGGTTCAATTTCCCTACAGCATGTTACTTTGAGGATTTAAGTTATTTTACTGGAAAAAAGAAAAGCAGAAACAGGCCGATGGTTTAAGCTTATGAAAAAGAGACAGGAAAAAAGCAGATCAAATGAAAAAGAAGGGGATATAATGGAAAGCTAAGGATGACATGAAGTGGTGGGAAACAGGGACCCACTGGTGGTCTGTCAGGTCTTTCATGATCTGCCATGAGCCATCTTGGGCCCCTGAAGTTTTTACTTCCCACCTACATTTACAAATTCATCTACTCTATTTCTATTCTATTTACCTATGAGGGCTCAGTCAGAAAACTTCGCTGTGAACTATACCTTCCCCTCCTACAGGAGGATGTTAATTCAACAATTATTATTATTATTTTTTTTTAAAGAGACAGGGTCTTGCTCTGTTGGCTAGGCTGAAGTGTAACACTTTGAATTCTGGGCTCCAGAGATCCTCCTCTCTTGGCCTCCTAAGAGGACTATAGGCTCAGACTGCTATGCCCAGCTAATTTTTTAATCTTTTTTAGAGAGACAGGGTCTCACTATGTTGCCTAGGCTGCTCTTAAACTCCTGGGCTCAAGTAATCCTCCCACCTTGGCCTCCCCAAGTGCCGGGAGTACAGTGTGAGCCCCCATGCCTGCCAACAATCGTTTATAAAGTATGAGGCTACAGGAGAGACTAAAATCCCCATCCCCTCGTGACAGATAAAGAGGACAAATGATAGATGAAATAAGTAAATGATATAGTATGTTAGATGATGATAGGTACTATGAGAACAAGGAAGGAAAAGGGGATAAGAGGTGAAGGGGGATTGGAAGGCATTTGTAATTTTAAATGAGGTAGTCAGAAATACTTAATAATAGGTAAACATACAGATAAAAACAAAAGCAAAAGACTTCTCGTGTTATAGAATGTGGGCCTTAGGATCCAATTCCTGTTCACCTTACTACAGGAGAGAAGTACTGGAGTCTTAGTACCACTGTGATTCTCTTGAAGGTTGTCACCTTCTGTAGGCTCCTGTCGACCACTGTAATATAACCCAGGCTGGAAGTCTTCTGTATCCACTAAAAACAGGGAATAATCCTGGCCTGCAGCTATACTCCAAACTCCATTTTCACTGCTTATCTGTAACAACAGAAAGATATTGGTGGTCCAACATGAAGGCAATCAGAAAGAACTTCAGGTCCAAAGGAACTGAATGTTAAGTTATTTAAACAGACATGGTACAAAGTAAGGGTCATCTCAGAGGGCAAAACTCACCTAGCAATATGTCTAATCAAATGCAGAACAAGTACAAGATTAAGAAGGAATTCCTTGTTCAGCTTTTAAATTTAGAACTGGTTTGGGGTTTTTTTGTTTTTTTTTTTCAGTCTGATTATGTCACCAGTGGTAGAGTGCTGTAGTATCATAACTCACAGCAACCTCAAACTCTTAGGCTCAAGTGATTCTCTTGCTTCAGCCTCCAGAGTAGCTGGGACTATAGGCATCTGCCCAAATGCCCAGCTATTTTTTCTTTAGCAGGCCCAGGTCAGGTTTGAACCCACCAGCCCCAGTGTATGTGGCCAGCACTCTAACCACTGACCTACAGGCACTGAGCCAAGAACTGGATTGTTTTTATAAAAATCTGAAAACTTAGAATTTAAAAATGAAAAAACCACAAACCTAATTTTTAGTTATTTTTGGAAGTCTGCACAAAACTTAGACTGTGTTACAATGGAGAGACCTGGAAAATTCTAGAGCCTTACTCTAGAAGTGACAACTAGGACATAACCTTTGTCCATCTGTATTTGGTTATGTGCACAAAAATCAAGATAAAAAGAAAACAATCTAATATGATCGAATTCCATTAGGGCTAACTAAATCCTTGGGTGCCAAAATTCAGTTTTCCTATTTGGAACTCTCTACTTCTCTGATGGGACTTCACTCTGCCTATTCCCAGAATGTTGAAATAGGCAGAACTCAGAAGCCCATCCAGAGGAATTCCCTAGAACAGTGGCTCTGGTGTGGCAGTAGCAATCACCTGGGAACAACTTGGGAATTAGAAATGCAAACTATCAGGCCCCAGAGCTGCTAGAGGTGAGATTCAGCACTGTTTTAACAAGCCCTCCAAGTGATTCTGATGTATGTAAAAGTTTGAGAACCATTGCCTTAAGACAATTACTATAGAACAGT